TCGAACCCGCCACCTTAGGTGTACGTGGCTGGCGCCTTAGCCGGTTGAGCTATAGGCGCCGAGCCCTTATCTTCTTTTAATAAGAAAACAACTCAAGGCTCAGCGCCCATAGCTCAGGGATTAGGGTGCCAGCCACATACACTGGGGATGGCCAGCTAAACGACAATGACAACTGCAACAACAACAACAACAACAAATAGCCAGGCATTGTGGTAGGCGCCTATAGTCCCAGCTACATGGGAGGTTGAGGCAAGAGAATCCCTTAAACCTAAGAGTTTGAGGTTGCTGAGAGCTATAATGTCGCCACGGCACTCTATACAGAGTGACAGAGAGATATTCTGTCTCAAAAAATAAAATAACTCAGGCTCGGCACCTGTGGCTCAGTGGTTAGGGTGCTGGCCACACTAGGGGCTGGCGGGTTCAAACCCAGCCCAGGCCTGCTAAATAACAATGACAACTGCAACAACAACAACAAAAAGATAGCGGGTCATTGTGGCAGGCACCTATAGTCCCAGCTACATGGGAGGACAAAAGAATCACTTAAACCCAAGAGTTTGAGGTTGATGTGAGCTATGACGCCATAGCACTCTATCAAGGGCGACATATTGAGACTCTATTTCAAAAAAAAAAACTTCACGGTTTGGTGCCCATAGCTCAGTGAGCAAGACATTGGCCACATACACCAAGGCTGGCAGGTTCGAGACCAGCCCAGGCCTGCTAAACAATGACAACTACAACCAAAATATAGCCAGGCATTGTGGTGGGCGCCTGAAGTCCCAGCTACTCAGGAGGTTGAGGCAAGAGAATCTCTTAAGCCTAAGAGTTTGAGGTTGCAGTGAGCTGTGAGGGCAACATAGTGAGACTCTGACTCAAAGAAAAAAAAAAAAAAAAAACCACACCATGGTAAGGAAAGTCAGAGCCAGGTAGCGCTAATGCATTCCACAGGACAGGCGGCACGGGCTGAGTGGGACATGCCGCTCTACAGCCGTGTTCCTGCCGTGGGCAGCTTGGCCACAGCCTCCTACTGCTGTTTCCTCTACTGTTTGGTTTCTTCTCCAGCAGTTCCTCCTTTAGAGCACAAAAAGTGAATGATTTAATACAAAAGTACTAAGCATATTTTTCCCAAACCAAATGGCCAATGAGATATTTTGAGTCGCAAAAAATCAAGATAGAAGTGAAAAAATTAAAATCTGGTTTTGTGATAATGCCCCTATTTTTCATATTAATACTTATGTTCAATCACTTGATAACAGTAAACTCCCCATTATCCCGAACTCAAGCAACCCAGCCAAAAAAACACTCAGTTCAGCTCAGTGCACAGCCTGTCAGTAAGCCGAGACTTCGCACATTACTACAAGGTCATGTGTTTTCTGTAAGTTTTAAATACAATTAATTGTGTGTTACTTGAAATTAAAAAAATATTGAAGTGTATTTGAGAAGTGTATTGACTGCCATTTAAAACTCTACCCTGCCATTTACAAAGCAGTTCTATAATATAGTAAGAAAAGCATTAGTTACAGTGTTACAGTAAATAAAGTTTGTCTTTGTCTTAATTTGCTTTTAATTAGTATATTTCAATGTTAATATCATCAAGTTTATGGTATGGTATGGGGTATAGAATTAGTTAGGCCTATTTTTAATCATTCAAACAATCAGAAACTACTTTTATCCAAAACCTACCAGCTGCCATGGGTGCTGGACAAGAGAGATAACTATACTCTTCTGTTTCAAGAAATTAAGGGCATCCTCTTACTCCTTACTTTAAAAAAAAAACTCCTGACAATATTTTAAATTTCAAAATATTACAACAGTACAAATGTTTCCGTTGCATAAATTCGTTGCATAATGCTGGAGCCAGGGCTTCTACCATGCCTGTAGGTAGGCCCTGAAGGACAGGGCCTGACCTTCACTGCATCATAGAGCTGAAGGGTCCATCCACGAGCCCCTCCCATCTCCCTCATTCCTGGTCTCCCATGTTCTTTATATCAGCGTGTGCTTGTGTACCTATCATTTTGCTCCCACTTGTTAGTGAGAACATGTGGTGTCTGCTTCTCCATTCCTGACACGCTTCTTTATGAATGTGGTCTCCAGGACCATCCGAGTGGCTGCAGAAGACATTACTTCTTGCCTTTTACAGCTGAGTGGTGTCCATAGTGTGTGTGTGACATGTATGTCTATATATAAGCTTAGATGTCTATTTCTTCTATCATTATCGTACTTGTACAGGGTGCACAAACTTTATGTCCACCTTGTATTTTTTACCATTGAGGTTTTGTATTTTCTTAAGTAACTGACGCTGTGTAGCTTTCCCTTTAAAAGTTAAATATCTCATGGTCTGAAACCATTCCTCCCGACAGGACTAGTAAACAACAGAATGTTAAAAATGGAAGAGACCTCACAGGCTAATTCCTCTCTTTTTTAAACATAGGTAGAGGCAGTGAACATACTGCTAAAAACCAACAGTCCAGGCTCGGCGCCTATAGCTCAACCGGCTAAGGTCAGCCGGCAAAGTCAGCCACGTACACCTAAGGTGGCGGGTTTGAATCCCTAGCCCGGACCCGCCAAACAACAATGACGGCTGCAACCAAAAAATAGCCGGGTGTTGTGGCGGGCACCTGTGGTCCCAGCTACTTGGGAGGCAGAGGCAGGAGACTCGCTTGAGCCCAGGAGTTGGAGGTTGCTGTGAGCTGTAATGCCACAGCACTCTGCCCAGGAGGACAGCTTGAGGCTCTGTCTCAAAAAAAAAAAAAACAAAACCAACAGTCCAGTCTATGAACAAAGTCTTTATACTGTTCCTCAGTCCCTTTAAGAAGCTGGAGGAGGGCAGCGCCTGTGGCTCAAAGGAGTAGGGTGTGGGCCCCATATGCCGGACGTGGCAGGTTCAAACCCAGCCCCGGCCAAAAACTGCAAAATAAATAAATAAATAAATAAAAGAAGCTGCAGGATAAATGGATAGTTTCAAATAAAGAAGGAACATTTGCTCCTATCTAACATAAGTATTCTAAAAGAAAAGTGTTGTACTGGGAGCTCTGGTAAATCTATTTCTCATGAACTCAACAAGACAAGATTCCACAATAATCCGGAGGGTTAGAAATAAAAAATGACTTAAGTGCATACCTGTAGTATTTGGTTGTACTAGTTTGATAACGTTACTGACCCCAGCTGAGAGGGAACTTGAGTAAAACTTCTTAAGAGACGCAGCACTGGCTTCCAGATGAATCTGTATCGCCTCTGTGAGAAAGGAGAAGCCAGTGTCAGAATCTGAGACAGTGCTGCCCAAGCAGACTTCTCGCTTCCTAAAAATGCTCCACAGCTGCACTGTCAGTCAGAGAAGCTGCTCTTCACATGAGAGAGAGCTGGAAATTGCCTACTGCAACTAAAGGAGCAGATTTTAGGTTGTGTTTACTTTTTAACTAATTTATAATTTTAGTAGTTTTCTATGGCTGGCTAGTGGCTATCACATAGGACAAAGCAGAGAAAAATATTGAAACAAACTTCCTCTATACCTATTTACACAGATCACCACCATGTACCACAGAACAACACACACATTCGTTGGCTTATCTACAAGTTCTTGCAGCACAGAAAGGTTCTTGTAAACTCAATCACTAATTAATTTCTACCAACAAATCCCATGCAGGGTACTTTACAACTCAGGTGATGTTACTGCTGCTTTTCTACCTCTTAAATGAAAAAAGTATAAAGAAAGTATAGTTAGGTCTCCATACCCAAGGTCACACCAAAAATAATCAAAAATCTGGCCCAGTGCCTGTAGCTCAGCAGCTAGGGCGCCAGCCACATACATACACAGGAGCTAGCAGGTTTGAATCCATCCGGGCCTGCCAAACAACAAAGATAACTACAACCAAAATAGGGCTAGGCATTGTAGTGGGCGCCTGTAGTCCCAGCTAACTTGGGAGACTGAGGCAAGAGAATCACTTAAGCCCAGAAGTTTGAGGTTGCTGTGAGCCATAACCCAGGGCGACATAGTGAGACTGTCTCAAAAAAAAAAATCAAAAATTTGAAAAAAATTAAAAAATAAAATACAAATAAGAAATAAGGGAATATAACAACTATCTGTGTGTATACAGCATTTACACTGTATTAGGTAGTATAAGTAATCTAGAGTTAATTTTAAGTATACAGGAGGACACATTACATAGGTTATATGCAAATAATATGCTTTTTCATAAATGGGGTTTTAACATACAACTATGTTGGTATTCCCAAGGGATCCTGGAACCAATCCCCAAGGACACCTAGGACAAATCTAAACATGACACTTTGCAGAACTGCAATGAAGATCAGAGTCTATGCACCTTTCGGGGAAATTTATCAAAAGTGACAACACTTTCCCCATATAAAATGGCTGTACAGGAGTTAAAAAAAAAAGATGTTCAAAACTAAAAAGTAACATAATATATTTCCCTTTTAAATTTGATAGAAAGGAGGACGTATACTGAAATGCTATGGGATTATAAAGGAAGCCAAGTTTCTCTTGTGCTACATCTCAGGGCAGACTTGCTCCCTCATTTCTTTGTAGGAGGCCTCTCAGCTATCATTTTACCAGCGTAGTCACAGAATAACAAAGCGTGCTAAAACACTGAACTAAGTGCATATAAATCCAGTCACTGGACAAATTAAGCTTTTCTACTCACCAAGCCCCTTCGGTATGTTCTTGGCTAAATGGTAAAGCCATTTAACTCTGAGCATCCAATCTTGGTTAGTTGCTCTTTCTATAAGCAATTTAACAGCCATGGCCAAAACATCGGGTTCATCAACCCAGTAAGTATCCAGTTCGACTGCACTGAATTTCAGGTTGTCAGGGCTGGAAGACTGCATGATTTTCCGTAAATCTTCCAAAGTAAGGGGCTGACTCCTGGAATTCATGGGAATGGGCAAAGTCAGTACTAACATAACCTTAATTTCACATTTCAAAGAACTGAGGAAATTATTCTACAAATATTGGACCAAAGGTGTAAGGAGGTAAAAGATGAGTCTCCCACAAAGGATGACAATTAAAACAAACCTAATAAATAAAAGGGGGCATCATCACAATGAGTAACAACACAAGGACAGCGGGAGAATAAAAGGCCACACAATGCTCTGAGTGAACATGCCGAGTCAAGGCCATTTCCACAAAGAGCAAAACCTAGCCGAGGAGCCAGAGAGACCCACGCACTGAGCCCTGCACTGACCTTGCCCAGCTGGCAGTTCTCAGGCTCATCCTGTTGAGGCAATATGCTAAGATCTGTCCATCAGTCCGGACTACGGAGAGATGGGAATCTTCAGTAGCAAAGAGAGCCGAAGGAACAGAATCCGGCCACAGTCCCATGGCGAGAAGGGAGCTCCCCCAGGTCTCATGCACTCGCAGAGTAGAGATGTGTTTCTCCAGTAAAGCCCTCACAAGCTGGTGGGCAGTAAGGACACACAGTAGAGAGGCACCAACATGTAAGTGCCACCCCCAAAAGTGGCAGAGTGATAATCGTTTTCTAAGAGCCATGTGACCATGTCATAACAACTATCACACACATTCTTCCATGTAAAATGCACAAATTAAAGTCTACTTCTGCTTACAATAGGTACGATTCAAGAAAAGAATATTCACATTTAATCTATTTCCCACAACAGAACCTAGACACCAGATCCTATTAGAACAAAACTCCAATGGGCAGCTCTTTCAGATCATAAGGTTACCACCTTTAAAAATCATTTCCT